CCCCCATCCTGAAGTTATCTAAAGTCCACAAGAGTCACCTCATTAGCGTAAACTCGGGTATGCTTGAAAAGGGCTCATCATGAATAACAAAGGATGCTCCTGGCATCCCTATCACTCAGGAAATTAGAAGAGTTTTTAGGAACTCTGTGCCAGGAAGCAGGAACAAAGACAAAATATGTATTTCTTATTATATCACAATATCACACCTCCACATGAGTGGAGAGGCTAGATGTAATCTTGTTTTCCATTAGCATTGTGGACATGTTTGAGATTCAGCATTGGCTGAATTTTTCCCTCTATTGTGTGAAAAATACACACATTATTGTGATTTGAAATGAGTCCAAAGAAAATCTTTTCCAACTGTAATGACATCCAGAGCTTGGTAATTCGAAAGATAAGAACTGTTTTTCATGTAGTCACATGGATTGTGTCTGTAAATGTAGTCTTTTTAATTGTATGTACTACTGTAGCTTCTGGAACTGCCATGGCATCTTCTTGGCAGGGCACAGTGGTGTCCAGGGGCACGGCTGGCCCAATTGACTTTTCCAGGCCCTTGAGACAGACTGGGTGCCTACTTCATCCGGAGAGCTATGAAAAACAGTTTTAGATTGTGGCAACAACATGCAAATCTTTGAGTTTCAATCATATTTTGAGTTTCCTCTGGATTTGAGAGTCAAATAAACTCCCAGGTCCCACTTACATGACTCAAACCTCCCTTTCCTGGGTCTTGTGGAAGTGTCTGGCTCCTCATCTTGGCTTCACTCCTGGGAATGTGAGCACAGCTCCAAAGGTGCGACACCCACAGCATCTCAGACCCATCTTTGGGTTGCTCTGAGGTTAAGCAGGGGGTGAAATTGGACTAAACAAACCCACTAGTCAGGATACAACCACTAAGGTCCTTTACTTCATTTTGAAACCATTGTCAAATTTGTCACAATTTTCTTTCGAACACTCAGCCAAGATTTTTCTTAAAATATGACTTCACTTTGCTTGAATAAAATAGGCCAGTATTATAACAGTTTTATAACATATGGTTGATACACAAACAGACAGGAAGATGTTATCCAGGTCATTCATGTATTAGACACATCTAATGCCCTCTGGGCATTAGATGGGCAAGAGATTTGTAGGGAAAACTCCTGTAAGAGAAAATGGGGATGGAGCTCAAAGAGAGGGGAGAGCCCTCAGTCCATGGGGCAGATGACCCCACGTAGAGATAGGGACGGAGAGAAACTGGATGGGACTGTCTCACTGTATTTCTAAGAGAGTTTACCAAGCCTACCGGGAGTCTTCAGGTTAAGAACACCCATCAGAGGAGTTCTGCACCTCCCAGGAATGGGCCTGCCTTAGCGCCCCTGCCACACTAGGTCCTGAGCTGAGACCAGCAGGTGGGAATCAAGATACAGCAGCTATCTGTCAGTTTCACTCCCTGTGGTTGGAGATTTGAGGGGCTCTGACGGCCACAGACACAGAGGTAGTTGACAGATGCCAGATGAGTGGGGAGGCAGGTAGACAGACAGATAGACAGATGGCCAGACAGACAAGCAGGATTAGAAAAGAGATACATATAATACTTATAGTGGCTTTCTCTGCTAGGAATTGTGGGACATTTGTGGGGGTTTTCTGTTGTACTTTTATATTTTCTAAAACTTCTGCACTTCAGCATGTGTATTCTTTAAAAAATCTGGACTGAGATTTAAGCAACTCTTTCTCTCTTTAAGGTAATCCCTTTCCTAATCTCAGAAATTTACAATGCTCACGGTGTGTGTGTATTTGTGTGTGTGTGTGTATGTGTGTCCTTGCTTGGGCCAATTTGCACCAAGCTTTCTGATTCTTCTTAACGCTCCCAAGCTTCTTCTTTTTCCCCCAGAAAATGCACTAGAAACATCTCTTTGGGGGGAAGACACAAGCCTGTTTATAACCTTCTGTCCACATCCCCTTATCTAACCATGCTTGTTGGCTACTGCCTACTAATTATATTAAAAAGTGGGAACTAAGCCAGACACTGAAAACATGTCTCCTAGGCTCTCTGACAAAGCATAAAAGATCCATCTTGGGGACAAACCACAGATTAGGACCTTAAGAAATTCAAAATGAAGTTGTGCCCTGAGAGATGTATAACTAAAATCTGCTAGTCTGTAATACAAGTTAATTCCATTGTAAGATCGTTTTGGTTACAGAAGCTGTACTAGATTGAACAGTGTCCCACCCAAAATTCATGCCCGCCTGGAACTTCAGGATGTGATCTTATTTGGAAGTAGTTCTTTGCAGACATAATTCAGATGACCTCACACTGGATTAAGGTGGACCCTAAATCCAATAACTGGTGTAGTTAGAAGGCGGCAATGTGAAGACACAGAGGAGATACACACAGGGAAGACTATATGAAGACAACAGCAGAGACTGGGTGATGTGTCCACAAGCCAAAGAATGCCAGGGATTGCCAACAACCACCAGAAACCAAGAAGAAGTGAGGAAGGATCCTCCCCAAGCACTTTCAGAGGAAGCCTGGCCCTGTCAACCACTTGATTCCAGATTTCTAGCCTCCAGAACAGTGAGAAAATAAATTTCTGTTGAATTAAGCCACCCAGTTTGTGGTACTTTGTTATAGCAGCCATAAAAGGAAACTAACACAGAAGGCGAGGTGACAAAGCTTCTTCAGGGAGGTGCCTGTGGACCAAGAGCCTGTGAGCAGACAGGCCATTGCATGACCCCATGTCCCCTCTCCTCCATCAACAAAGTCCATTAGTGATGAAGCATCCGAGATGAGGATTGGTGACACCTGAGCCACTTTGAGGACTGACTGCAACTCACATTCCAAAGCCAAAAGCCACACTACACTGGATAAGATTTTTGATCTTTACACATAAATGGATAGCAAAAATTGTATAAACAGTTTACACAGGGACTCTGGGGCACCCAAGAGCAAAGATGCTTATCTTCACAGACTAGCTGCTTCTATCTGTCGCCTCACTCAACCAAATATGAGGCACTCCTTAGGAAAGAGTGCAAATGAGATGAAGTGGGGCTTTGTTTTACATGCACCCTGACTGTTGATGATTATGAACATAATAACGCTCCATTTGTAGGTGATTATTCGCTGCCAACCTCTCTGTGGGAAAAAAACAACCTTTCATCATAATGAGAACATCATGGGGAGTCTGCAGAGGCCATGCACAGAGCTGACCTGGAGGGGCCAGGACTGGGATGGGGCTGGGGAAGGATTGGCGACAGTTGTCTGCAGATTGCAGACCACGGCTGAGGGACCAGCATGTTCACAAAGGAGCACGCAGTTCCGGTGAGCTCTGAGGGTGAAGCCACAGCCAGAATGTAAACACTGTCAGGGCACCCTGAAGAACAGAGGTGCCACCGAGTGTCTCAGTAAAGAAAGACAGATCGGGAATGGAGAGGTCAGAGGAGAGCACGTGGCTCAGGCCTGGGGAAGTCTGGCAGGTTGCAGAGTGGAGGATTGTGTCCAGAGGCAAGGAGAGAGCAGAGTGTGAGCTGGGGGATGAACAGGGTAGAGACCTAACTGCTCCGGAGGGTCCATGGCACTCCTGCGGTTCTACAGCACATGGAATATAATCATTGATGCTATTTCCTTGAGTTTTAGTTTCCGCCCCTGCTCTGATGTTTTCGTTTGTCCTGGTGTGTGCTGTGGTTTAGCAGGACTCTTCAGGGCTGGGTATTCTCAGAGGTCTTCATTTTCTGCAAAGATCTTACTTTACGTGTTTTATGTGTCTCATTTACTGTGTGGAAGCTGCCACTTTTCAGAAGTTTGGTCTAAGTTCTGCGCTGCCGAGTGACATGGGATAGTGATAAATAGTTCACTGCAACTTCAATATAAATGCGGAAATGAGAAGAGAAATAGTAGGAAATCTGGGAGTATGTATCCCATGGGCTACAATTATTAGGGGGACTCAATGAAATGATGTGTATAAAAAATGCAGGAGGCAGGGTCCAATCAGGAAAGAGATACCACACAGTAGGTTAAACAGAGAAATGTTAATATCAAAATTATTAACTATAGTAAAGGAATAGCTATAAGATATAAAAAAAACTCTCCATGGTCTTCCACGCCCCCAAAAAAGGACAAACTTGGAAGGGGTTCAGATCTCACTGGAGAAGGTGTGATTGGACCATGGGACAGCAGAGAAGCTGGCTGGTTTGGCCAGACTGGAGCGGGTCTGGAGTTGCTGGGCAAACAATAGACCACCCTCCGGAGGGCAGGCAGGGAGCAGGCATCAGCAGTCAGGGGCACCAGGTGTGCGGTGGGAGCCTGGGATCAGGAGGGGGCAGAGGGCCTTCAGAGGAGCAGGCTGCACGGGGGTGGGTGGGGAGAGCAGGGGGCTTACAGACAGTGGGCTGCCCAGGTAGACCCCTGGCCACAGGCATGCTGCACCAGGGCCATGCTGGGGCTTTTTGTGTGTGTGTGTCAAGAGCTCTGTGGACAGGTTATCGTCAGGCCAAAGCTGCAAGTACAGAGGGACCACTGTCAGGCCCTGTGGCCATGGCAGGATCCACTGGAAGTCTTCCTACCGACGTGGCTGACTCTCTCGCCCCTCCCACTGGAAGTTGCAGGAGGCCCCTTCCCCCTACAATGTCCCTTCAGCTCCCCCTACTGAGAGAGCTTAACGTGGTGCTCGTTGTTAAGGAGAAATACTTAAAGGAAATCCATCATTTATTACAGAGCTTCTAGTGAATGGTGCACTCAGAGCTGAAAGGAAATAAATTGATAGTGACACAGAGAGCTTAGCAAAGAGACTGGCACATAGTAGGTGCTCGATGACTGAAAGCTGTGAGTGTGACTTCTTATTCAGTGAAACTGAATATATTTAAATTATTTGAAATACATTTAAAAGTTGGGCAGCCGTGTTGATACATATTGTCGTGTAATTTATTGTTGTGTATTATTTAAGTAGACAAATTTAAGAATCTGTGTGTAAAACATTTCTCATTTCTAATTCGTGTTTCTTTCTTTTCATTTTCTTTTTGTCTAGGTCTTATACAACATATTAATTGCCTTCACAAAGATGCATAAATTTGAAGCCATAGAACCTGTTGACATTTTAGCTGGATGTGCCCGATTCGTTATTGTGGGGGTTGGGGGAGTATTTTTCGGCATCATTTTTGGATTCATTTCTGCATTTATCACACGTTTCACTCAGAATATCTCTGCAATTGAACCACTCATCGTCTTCATGTTCAGCTATTTGTCTTACTTGGCGGCTGAGACCCTCTATCTCTCTGGCATCCTGGCGTGAGTACAAACCAAAGACTAACTCTCATAGCAATAAAAGAGACGTTAGGACCTCATCTTGTGGCCCAGCATCTGGAAAAGGCTTGACTTCTGACGCTAATTCTCAAAGGTGTTGTAGGATTCAGATTTTTTAAACTTTTGTAAAATCTTATTCAGATCCTTTGCCAAACAAATGTTCTCTCCAGCATTTGCATTGCTCTCTTCTCATGATTTGCCTAAGGAGAGCATAGCAATTAAGCTCAGAAAAGCTGATACAGAGAGGAGCTGGGAGAAGTTCAAAGTTAAAGTCTCATTTCAGTAGATTATTTTTTTTCCTTGAAAAATTCATTATTTTAACGGCAAAGGGAAGCATTCCTGAGCTCCGCCTTCTGATATTTCCCTCAAGTCACATCAGAGCTCCAGGACTGGTCAATGCGGAATGAAACTAGGTAGATGGGATAAGACTAGAAATCCAGATTGCCTTTTCCTAATGAAAATATTTTGAAATGTTTATCCTTGTGTAGATCTTGAAATGAGGCTTCTCAACTTGGCTTATTATATCTAGTCATGTTATTTTCCTTGTGACATCATTCTCATACCCAGCTAGTTGTGCAGAAATATTTAATTTTATTGTATAGAAATACATCTTTCAATTAAATATAATAGTGTAAAGTCTGGGCACTCATCATTTTCCCACCTTAAAAGTAAGCAGAACTACTAAGACAAGGCAAAGTCCTGTCTTTCCCCTCCAGACTTGCTAAGTAGCTCTAGAACAGAAACATTTTAAATGAAAAATTTCTCATTAAATTGTTGTAAGAAATATTGCAATATGAGGGGCCTTGCTGAGTTATTCTTTCTAGGTAACGGCACTGATTTATTTTGCTTTAAGGCAGAGTGAAGTGGAGAGTAAGGGGTGGGACTGACAACGCTCTTGATGAGGGAGGGCAAGGTAGAAACAGTTCTGCTTCGGATTTGTGCAGGGTTAGTGCCTTTTTGTTGTGGGAAAGCCATGCCACACCCACCTTGCCCACACTCAACTTGTGCAAACCCCTTGGAGAGGGAGAGGAGGAAGAAAGGAAATCTGTCATAGAGGGGAATGGAGAAGGTGTTCTCTCCAGGGAAAGACAGGATTTGTGTATCTGTGGCGTCACCAGTAGCTGGGATTTTTCACGGAGGGGCAAAATCTCGTGGCTTCTCTCAGGCTCTGCTCCTTTTGTAGAATCACAGCCTGCGCCGTGACAATGAAAAAGTATGTAGAAGAAAACGTGTCCCAGACATCCTACACGACCATCAAGTATTTCATGAAGATGCTGAGCAGTGTCAGCGAGACCCTGATCTTCATCTTCATGGGCGTGTCCACCGTTGGGAAGAACCACGAGTGGAACTGGGCCTTCATCTGCTTCACGCTGGCCTTCTGCCAGATCTGGAGAGCCATCAGTAAGAGACAGCAGGGCCCTGAACACTCTCCTGCCGCCTTCTTTTTTTTGTTTTTCTGATTCCTTCCTGAGGTGTAAAAGCATAAGTAGGTAGTGAGGTGACACTAACTGGTTTTACTGGTTAGGGGAGTATAGGCACCTTGTAGTGACCAGGAATGTTTTCTGTTTACTCCTTCAATCAGTTCAAGGTAATTAGTGGCTGATAAGGCTCTGCCCTGAAGCAAGGCTGGAGCAGGGGTTTCTTTTTTTTTTTTCAATTGAATAGAGAACTTTCACATCTACACATTTAAATATAACTCAGTAAATTTATTCCTTGCTCTTCATTTTGCCAATCTGTGTCCTGTCGCACCTTAAATCAGATATAGATAATAAACTGCGGGCATCCACACTTTTGTTACGGGAAAAGTGAGATCTCACAAGTTGTATTCTGCGTGAGGCAAGTACTATTAGGAAACAGTGCTCTAAACAATACAGGTGATTTTAGTTGAGGATTGAGTGTGATGTACAGAAAACCAAGGACCAGGAAGTGAATCTTTATTTTTAAAAAGTGCTTAGTATTAAGTAGTAAAGGCAACTCTGTAATGTAACTGGTGTCAACTGTACAAAATATGCCTAATTTAAAAAAGGAGATGTCTTGACTAATGGCTGCTGCTATATCTTGTACATTTATGTTTCCGGAGCTAGAAAAGAACATTAAGTACTGAACTACAATATGTGTTGCCTTTTGATTAGAAGCAATTATATTTTAAAGTGATTTTGACCAATATTTGAAGCATTTTTTAAATGACTTTGATCAATATTTACAAGCCAATTACTCAAACAGAAATTAGAGAAATGGCCGAGAACTTATCTTGAACGTATCAATTCTAAATTAATTTAGGATGGATTTTAGGATCTAGGAAAGAATAACAAGTATGCAGAAATATTAAAGTATTCATAAAACTAACTGTTAATATATGTGCCTGTTGGATCCTCAAGGGAGAAAAGATTTAAGGAAATTGTGGTATAAATTTATGATCTCACGTCAAATCCTGGCACCATTGCTAACTAACTATTTGACCTTGGATAGACATTTAACTACTCAAAATCTTCCTCATCCACAAAATCGTGAGTGTGGACAAATTTCTTAGGTTCCTTTCAGTTCTAAACCTGTAGGGATCTTCAGAGGAGTAGAGCTAATGTCAAAAGAAGTAACACTACAGAGCTTCAGCCCAGCCAACAAGAATAGAAACCATCCAGGTATATTGTGGATACCTCAACATTGTTGACCCTTGGTGACCATCCAGCCCAACTCCTTCCTGTTCTAGCTGAGGGAACTGATGGAACAGTCACCAAGAGAATGGCTGACTTGGCCACATCACAGTGAGGGACAGAGCCAGGTGTCAGAATCCACGTCTCCCGCTTCCAGCCTGTTCCCTTCCCGGCCTGACTCATCGTAGCTAACAATAGTTCACACTCGTGAAGGCTTGTAACATATAAGGCTCTGCTTTATATTATTTACAGATATTAAATTTATTTAAGCCTTGCATCCACTTTCTGAAGTGAATACTATCATTACTCCCATTAAGCAGTGAGGAGACTGAGTAGATAAAAAAAATTAAGAACCTTGCCTGAGGTCACATGACTAGTATGTGGAGGACCCAGGAAAATTGAAACAAAATGAAAAAGTTTAAACTTTACCGTCTCTTGCCCTATCAATGTGCCTATAATCAAAAGTTACTTGCTGTGAAGCCTGTGTGATTAGAAGTCACATGAGGATACTGAGAGTTTTATCATCTTGCAGTGAAACCTCTTTAATTAGTGAAGATAGCTTTCCCACCAGGCACCACTGCATTGATGGTCGCTAGGTCATGGGGACCGCCTGGGGATAGAAAATCAGTGTGGCAGAAAACACTTCTGTTTTAAACAAGCTCCCTCACCCTCCACCCTCCACTTACTGACTGTAAGAAGCCCCCCTTTGAACCCTTGCCAACATCCTTTCTTATTTACATTGAACCTCAAGAAGAACCAAACCAACCACAGATTTGCTCACCCTGCAGAGACCACAGTCACCAAGAGGGCTCTTCTCATGTTTAAAGCTCCTTTTGGTTACTCAACGAGAACATGAGATGATAAAAATATTTTTGTCCCCCAAATAATCCCCTTGCTTTACCTAGTTTTGAAAGGCAGAACAAAAATTATGAGTATAGATTAGAAAATTTCTGCCATTTTTTTTAATGAGGAGATCAGCCCTGTGCTCGCATCTGCCAATCCTCCTCTCTCTTTTTTTTTTTTTTTTTTTTTTGCTGAGGAAGACTGGCCCTGGGCTAACATCCGTGCCCATCTTTCTTCCACTTTATATGGGATGCCGCCACAGCATGGCTTGCCAAGCAGTGCGTCGGTGTGCGCCTGGGATCCAAACCGGCAAACCCTAGGCCGAGGCAGCAGAGCGCACGCACTTAACCGCTTGCACCACCAGGCTGGCCCCAAAATTTCTGCCATTTTGTATATCCAAAAGTATCAAGATTTTATTACTTTAAATACACACACACACACACACACACACACACACACACGGAAGCTACCAATCTGAAGCACTACTGTCTCACACCTAGTCAAAAAGTGGTAAGTTTTGTAAGATACTATGTTTGGGATGGACAATCCTGGGTGTGATAGAACTAGGAGGCCTCGTTTTGAGGACAGATGCACTCAGCTTGGGTTCACTAGCACTGTACCTCTACCCGTTCATGACCCTCTGCTCTAATACGTATTTCCCCCTTTCTAGGCGTGTTTGCTCTCTTCTATGTCAGTAACCAGTTTCGGACTTACCCCTTCTCCATCAAGGACCAGTGCGTAATTTTCTACAGCGGTGTTCGAGGAGCCGGAAGTTTTTCACTCGCATTTTTGCTTCCTCTGTCTCTTTTTCCTAGGAAGAAAATGTTTGTCACTGCTACTCTAGTAGTTACATATTTTACTGTATTTATTCAGGTTGGTAGATTACTTTCATATCTGAAATAAGTAAATTCTTTCAGGGTTATGTATTAAATTATTATAATACCAAAAAAGGGGCACTTTTCTGACTTTCAGACGTGTGCTCAATACCCAAGCTAAATTACCAAATATTTCTAGATCATGTTTATGGTCATCCTTTAATCTCTAAAATATGTTGCCTTTTAATCAATAAAATGTATTAATCAAAATATTCCTGGGTGACAAGTGAATGATAGTTACCCTACTGTGTATTGCTGAAAATGAGATTCCAATCAGTACTAGCTAGCATGCGTTTTTATTTTAGCTGGAGTTATGTCTTAGCAAACTAATGAGAGTTTATTTTAAAGGATGAAACTAAATTTTTGCTTTAAAATGTAGACGTACTGCCTATTTTTATTGCAGAATTTAAAATAATTAAACAAGAACAAAAGTAAACACTGGAGCTATCCAGTAGAAGCTAGTACCAAAAAAAAACATAAAAGTTGGAAGTTCTAATAGTTTTGCTAATGGATTTGCTCTCTATAATGGCAATCTTCACTACAACAAAACCCTTTATTTTGTTTTTTATGATCTAGGGAATCACAATTGGCCCTCTGGTCAGGTACCTGGATGTTAAAAAGACCAATAAAAAAGAATCCATCAATGAAGAGCTTCATATCCGTGTAAGTTATCTCTTCGTCATAATTAATAAGTTAATAAGATGTCCCCATCTGCCACCTATGGGAGTAATCTAGAGCTTTGATGTGACATGTGTACATGTCACTAGACATAGCCTCTTTCCTCTCCAGCTCCACCAAGAGCGACTGTACTGGTTTTTTCTTGCTGCTGCAGGAAATTATCACAAGTTTAGTGTCTTAAAAAAATACAAAGTTATTATCTTCTAGTTCTGGAGGTCAGAAGTCCAAAATGGGTCTCACTGGGCTAAAATCAAGATGTTGCAAAGCTGCATTTCTTTCTGGAGTTTCTAGGGAAGAATCTGTTCCTTTGCTTCTTTCAGCTTCTAGAGGCTGCTGGCATTCCTTGGCTCATGGACCCCTTCCATCTTCAAAGCTAGCAATGGCCGGTCAGGGCTTTCTCATGCTGCACTGACTCTTCTGCCTTCCTCTTCCACAGTAAAGACTTTTGTGATTATATTGGGTCCATCTGGATAATTTAGGATATTCTATCTTAAGGTCAGCTGACTAGCAACCTAAAGTCCATTTGCTATCTTAATGCTTCTTTGCATATAAACTAACATATTCACAGGTTCTGGGGATCAGGACGTGGACATCTTTGGAGACCGTTATTCTGCCAGTCACAGTCTGCCTTATGCCTCTCAAACATTCATGTCTGTTTCACATGCAAAACACACTAACTCTCTCCCAACATCCCCAAAATTTCAATCCATTATAATACCAACTCAAAGACCAAAATCTCATCTAAATCTTATGAGCTCAAAAGTTCCAGATCTCATCATCTCGACCATCTAAATCAGGGATGTGTGAGGCTCTGGGTATAATCCCTTCTGAGGCACAGCTCCCCTCTGGGGTTCTGAACCTGTGAAACTCAAGAAACAAGTTGCCCGTTCCCAAAATACACAGGTGGGGCAGTCATAGGATAACAGCTATAGATATTCCCTTTCAAAAAGGGGGAAAAAATGGGAGGAAAAAAGGAGTCATCTATCCCAAGCAAATTTCTAAGTCCACCTGGGAAAACTCTGTTTGGTTTCAAGGCCTGGGAACAGTCGCTCCACCCTCTGGGTTCTCAGCTCCACCCACTGAGTCATACTTCCTTTATCGTGAAAGGTAGCATGTGTTTGCAGCTCATTAGTTTGATCAGCCTGTTTCTTGCCTATAGAGTTTTAGAGATCCAACAGCCTTCTTTCGTTTTATCTTCTGTCTTTCTCTTTCAGTCTAAGCTGGCAGTGCTTCTGTCAGGGTTCAACAGAAGCAAACCAGTAAGAGATGTATACTAAGAGCTTTGTTGCAAGGAATTGGCTTACCTTCTATGGGGCCTGGCTAGGCATGTCCAAAATCTGTAGGACAGGCCATCAGGAAAGTGGACTGGAACTCTCAGGCATGAGATACAGCCACTGTGCACAAGTGGGATTTTCTTTTTTGGTGAGGAAGATTAGCCCCGAGCTAACGTCTGTGCCAATCTTCCTCTATTTTTTATGTGGGATGCCTCCACAGCACGGCTGATGAGTGGAGTAGGTCTGTGCCTGGGATCCGAACCCATGAACCTGGGCAGCTGAAGCGGAGCACGTGGAACTTTAACCACTCAGCCACAGGGCTGGCCCCCTTCTTCTTCTTCTTTTTTTTTTTTTTTTCAACTTTATTCACTTTTTAAAAATTTTATTCAGGTCATATTGCCTTTAACATTGTGTAAATTTCAGGTGTACATTATTGTGTTTCAGTTTCAGTGTAGATTGCTCTCGTTCATCACCAATAGTCTAGTTTTTATCTGTCACCATATACATGTGCCCCTTTACCCCTTTCCCCTTCCCCCCACCCCCTTTTCCTCTGGTAACCAGCAATCTGTTCTCCTTATCTGTCTGTTTGTTTATCTTCCACATGTGAGTGAAATCATATTGTATTTGTCTTTCTCTGTCTGACTTATTTCACTTAGCATAATGTCCTCATGGTCCATCCACGTTGTCGCAAATGGCATGATTTTGTCTTTTTTATGACTGAGTAGTATTCCATTGTGTGTGTGTGTGTGTGTGTGTGTGTGTGTGTATCTTTTTATTTTTATTTTTTGCTGAGGAAGATTTGCCCTGAGCTACCATCCACTGCCAATCTTTCTCTTTTAGTATGTGAGCTGCCACCACAGCATGGCCACTAATAGATGAGTGGTGTAGTTCCATGCCCAGGAACCACACCTGGGCTGCCAAGGCAGAGCGTGCCAAACTTAACCACAAGGCCAAGGGGGCTGGCCCTATACCACATCTTCTTTATCCATTCATCTGTTGATGGGCACTTGGGTTGCTTCCATGTCTTGGCTATTGTGAATAATGCCGCAATGAACATAGGGGTGCACAAATCTTTTTGAATTGTTGATTTCGTATTCTTTAGATAAATACCCAGTAGTGGAATAGCTGGATCATATGATATTTCTATTTTTATTTTTTTGAGAAACCTCCATACTGTTTTCCTTAGTGGCTGACCAGTTTGCATTCTCACCAGCATGCATGAGAGTTCCCTTTTCTCCACGTTCTCTCCAACACTGGTTTTTTTGTGTGTGTGTGTGAGATAAGCCCTGAGCTAACATACATGTCAATCCTCCTCTTTTTGCTGAGGAAGACTGGCCCTGAGCTAACATCCGTGCCGATCTTCCTCCACTTTATGTGGGATGCCACCCACCACAGCATGGCCTGACAAGCGGTGTGATGGTGGGCACCCGGGATCCGAACCCAGGCCGCCAGCAGTGGAGCGTGGGCACTTAACCACTACGCCACAGGGCCGGCCCCCAACACTTGTTATTTCTCGTCTTGTGAATTATAGCCATTCTGATGGGTATGAGGTGATATCTCATTGTAGTTTTGATTTGCATTTCCCTAGTAATTAGTGATGTTGAACATCTTTTCCTGTGCCTGTTGGCCATCTGTATATCTTCTTTGGAAAAATGTCTGTTCATAGCCTCTGCCCGTTATTTGCTTGGGTCGTTCACTTTTTTGTTGTTGAGTTGCATGAGTTCTTTATATATTTTGGAAATTAACTCCTTCTCGGATACATGATTTGCAAATCTCAGTTGGTGGGTTGTCTTTTCATTTTGTTGATGGTTTCCTTTGCTTTGCAGAAGCTTTTTAATCTGATGCAGTCCCATTTGTTTGTTTTTTTCTTTTGTTTCCCTTGCCTGAGTAGACATGGTATTTGAAAAGATATGGCTAAGACTAATGTCAAACAGTGTACTACCTATATTTTCTTCTAAGAGTTTTATGGTTTCAGGTCTTACAGTCAGGTCTTTAATCCATTTTGAGTTAGTTGTTGTGTATGATGTAAGATAATGGTCTACTTTCATTCTTTTGCATGTGGCTGTCCAGTTTTCCTGTTATTGAAGAGACTTTCCTTTCTTCATTGTATGTTCCTGGCTCCTTTGTTAAAGATCAGCTGTCCATAGATGTGTGGTTTTATTTCCGGGCTCTTGATTCTGTTCCATTGATCAATGGAATTTTCTTCTTCATCAGGGAAGACTTCATCAGTTTCTCCAGCATCAGAATCATGAACTCTCAGATATGAAAGCAACCTAAAAATTGTCTGGGGCGTTCATCTCCTCAAAGCTTGAGTCTTCTGTACAGCAGCTATGCCAACTGTTCCCAATCATTGCTTGCACACATCCTTTTCACGTTTGGGTGTGCCATACAAGAAACAATGATCAGAATGCTTTCATTAACCGAGTTGAAGTCTCTCTCCCAATACCTTCCATATATTAGTTCTCATTTCTATTCCCTGGAGCCACACAGAATGGCATTCGTTCAAAACTGTGTTGAACTTAAACAAACAGGTAGAAACCACGCTGAACTTCATTTCATCATTGTTAGAGTTGGATGTTTTCACCACTAGGCAGAATTGGTAGAAGCCTTTACCCCTTCCTCATTAAAAGTTCAGAAAGAACAGAGGATCCTACGTTCCATTGGAACAAGGATTTTAGAAGCAAGTAGGGCAATTCGGAACATTAGTCACTGTGATAGTTTTTTGAAGTGTCAACTTGGCTAGGCTAGTCCTCAGTTATTGTTAACATGAATCTAGATGCTGCTGTGAAGGTATTTTGCAGTAAGATTAAAGTCCATAATCAGTTGTCTTTAAGTAAGGGAGATTGTCCTAGATAATCTGAGTGGGCCTGATTTGATCAGTTGAAAGGCCTGAAGAGTAGAGCTGAGGCTTTCAAAATCAGTCCTGAATTTCATGGCCAACGTTGAGGAAATAAAGTAATTTAAATTCTAGGAAGCCCAAACCAAAATTTTTCAAGGCCATTTGAAAGTATTCAACAGATGGGGATAGAGAATGAGTCTTTTTAAAATAAGTGATGCTTTAACCTGATTTAAGGTTTTTGTCTCTATCTTTATCCCCCTGTTCATTATTTTGAGAAATTAGGTAATATACCTAAAACAATAGAACTTGGGTATTTCACTCCTTTCTTATTTATTTTTCATAAAAAAAGTTATAATTATTGGCAGAAAATGCATCAATTTAGTATTTAAGAATGAATTTAGTATATTAATCAATTTTCAAAAAATTTTTAGAAGCTAGTATAAACTTCAATGATTATAAATTTAAATTTCTTCAAGACTAATTCATAAATTTTGAAGAAACGGTGCTTTTTTCCTAAATTCCTATAAAAAATTTGGATAAAGCAAATGTAGTATAATTGGCTTGGATAGTGCAATGTAAATACTGAGACAAAGTGATTAGATAAAAAATGAGGCACATACACAAATTTTGTTGTTACATGTTATTATTGTAATAGCATATCTGTGGAATTATATTTTCAGAAACTGTATAAATTGGATATTGGCAATTTCTTTTCTTTTGCAATGAAATTAAAAGTAACAGTTAATTATTAGGCTTTACATCCATGTGATTTTAGTAATGAGAAATTTCCTAGATCATTCTAGAAAAATATTATTCAAAGCAAATGGCAGGTATCCTGTTTTCATTGCAAGTTATGTGCATTATTAAAGAATTTATCTACAGAGTCTTTGAATCATGAAACTAAGTTGAATTACTATGAAAGGTATTGTGAGTTTCAGTTACATGAACAGAGTGATAGAAAAGAGGATATGCTCCAGGAAATTAAAGCCTCCTTTGTTTTCCAAAGTGTATTAGCTTTCCTTCATGTCTTTTAGAGTTAACATTTCACCAGCTGTCATTTTCTTGTGTTTGGTTTGGCAGCTGATGGATCACTTGAAGGCTGGAATTGAAGATGTGTGTGGGCAATGGAGCCACTACCAAGTGAGAGACAAGTAAGGAGGCTGAGGGCTTCACTACCTAGGAAGGATATTTGTGGAATGGGAACCTCAAAAGGTTACACTGGAAGATGAGCATTAAATTAGAAAGAATCCAGAGGAAGGGGACCAGGAAGATGAAAGGCCTGGGATCCATGCCATACCAGAAGCAGGTGGAAGTCCTGGGAACGCCTAGCCTGGAAAATGGAGAACTATCAGGTGGAGGAGGCTGTAGACTTGGGCCAAGTTGCTTTAGGGAGTAGTACAACTGATAGATGGAAATTAGAGAAGTCAGACTTAAGTTTAAAACGAGGACAAGTTTCTCAATGATAAGAGGAGCTCAACCATGGAATGACTGTCTTCATGAGGCTGTAGAGGGAATTTGGTGATCCAAAGTTTGATGAGTTTCCCTCATCAGGGATCCTGGGGAAGAGATTCCTCCTTTGTTGGGGAGGCTGCAATGGAAGACCTTTAAGGGTCCTTCGCACATAATGATTCTATAAGAATGCCAAAGTCCCTCTTCTCCACTAGATCATACATTTCAGAACTCATTCTCTTCCTGGATTTAGTCTAGAGCCATATTTCTTAAGTATGTGGCCCTGAGGAGAGTTTCATCGAGGATGAGGAAGATGAGAGTTTTGGAATTATGCACAGCTGTTTGGAGGATGTAGGAGTTAGCAGTAGGTAAGTTAACCCCATGGTAGAAGTTTCCTCTCTAGGGCTTGCCAACATATTGATGTTGGTGATACCAAGGAGAAACTAGATCTTAAAAAATCTGGCTGTTGTGGAGTGGTGCCACCTGAAAGGGAAACTGAGAGCTCTTGAGTGGGCTCTTTTTATGAGGCAGAAAGAAGGATAGTTTTAGCAGTCCTCATCATGTTAAAGTAGAATTTAAATTGTGTGACTATCCACCAATCTAGAACTTGGGCCATGCATTTTTAAGGCGAAATCCTATCATTCATTCTCCCAAATGAAAAATCATTTAATATTCTTCCATTTAGCCAAATCTATGCCTAATTTTCTAGACACAAAGGCAGATATGAAGAGCAGTAAGACACACTCAATGCACTCAAGATCCTCACAGTATAGTAGAAGAGGTTCTGGAAAAAAAGAGTAAAAGAACCTGAACAAATAATTATGATCAATATGGGAAATGCAATAACAGAGGTAAATGCATAGAACTATATTAATACAGAAATGGAAGTGTGTTTTGAAAATAAATGAGGAGTTCTCCAGGCAGAGAAGAATGGAAAGTATGCCAAGTGGCAGCAGCAGCAGCAGTGTATTTCAGTATGCAAAGGCAAGAAAGATCATAGCACCATTTAGATACGGTCAGAGAGAGTGATGTGGTGAGACAAGAAGTCGGAAAGACAAAGACGTTGCTTTTATGATGCAGTGCTAAGGAGTTCTATACAGCCATTAATACTATAAAATTCTACTTGACCTATAAACGTATATCAAAAGGCTTTTAAATAGAAGAGTGGCATGACCGTATTTGGCTTTTGGAAGGCAAACTACAAAAGCAATATGGAAATTGGATTAGAAAGAGATAATGTGGGGAGGGAGAGCTGTAAGGGGATTTTCACAATCATGTAAAAATTTTTTAAAAAAACAACTATCATCTTGTAAACATAGAGTAAGCTCCAGCTACTATGGTAGCTATTTCATATATTATTTCTTACATGATCTCCTTAACAGTCCTGTGTTATTGCTATTATTTTCATTTTAAAGATGAGAAAACCAACTCCAAGAGGTCAATTAACGTATTCTGCAGTGGAACCTTGATTTAAATTCAGGACTGACTTTAAAACCTCTTTTGTTTTGAATGAACCACAGAGCTTTCAGACTAGTAAGGATAAGGAACTAGCAGAAAGGGTACTGAAATATTTCTGAGGTAGATGTGGTGACTGGTGATGGGCACAGGCAGAGAAAGGTGAGGAAAGGGAAAATAAGAATGACTCTCAGAATTCCAGAAAGGGAGCAGAGGGAGATAACAATGCCATGGTTAAATTTATAGACTATAGAAGAATGTTTGGTTAAATAGTAGATTCTGTTTAAGATGTCTCAGATACTCAGCCCCCTTTTGGAATTCAGTCTTAAGTTCAAGGAAGGTAAAGATTGTGAGTTGTCAGTGAGTATTTGCTAACTAAAGCCATGGGCATTGGTGAGGTAACCACAAGGGTGTGAAGAGGGGAAGCTGACCGAGGACAGGACTCTGAGAAGCTTCCATTCCTATGGGGCAGGTAAGGAAGAGGAGGGGCAGGGGAGACTTGGAAGAAGTGGTTAGGGAGGCTGGAAGAGAATCAGGTCCGAATCAGGATGTGGAGGGCATGGAGGAAGTGACCCAGTGGCACATCAGGAGAAGCCAAGTGGCACATAGGGCATGTTCAACCACTGGCATTGAACAGTGCAAGGCCAAGGTGAGCTCAGCGTGAAGAGTGTCAAGAAAGTCCTGATGGCTGGGGAGCCAATTACAGTGGAGTCAGGAATAAACAGGAACGTGCCTTCTCCTGAAGAAAAGTAGAAAACTAGAAGGCTGAGGGGGTGACCTGGTTGAAGCAAGATTGGGCCTGATATGAGGCAAACACAGATCACAGAGCTCAAGGAATCACAGCCCGCTAAACTCGGAGGAGACTTGACAATGAGTCCATCCGCCTTGCAGACCAGGAAATCAATCACCAGATGATAAGCCAGGGAGTTGTGCTCCCCTCCAGAAAATAAAACAGGCAGACAAATTACTCTTTGAATGTAAAATGATTGGAAGTGTTGAAAATTCCTACTCCAAACAAATGGCCGACTCTGAAGGCACCATATGCATATGTGCAGCTCAGTCTAATGGGTCGGCCAGAGGTTTGCTACAATAGTCAGCGGCCATCAGCGTCTAGCTATTCAGATTCTCCATCATTCAGAATGTCAGGATATATGTGGGTCCCCCCTCCTTAATTGGCAGGATTTAAAATAATCTGCAGCATAATGGGCAAAACTACTGTAACTACCAGGCCATTTAAACTTATTGGGTTCTGGTTGAATAGGCCGGTATTACTGTAAGTGCAGCTGCCACTGTTATGAGCTATTAGAATGGAACACTTGCTCAAAAGCCTTAACCCACTCATTTCATCTCTTACAATCAGAGCTGAGCTGGGCTCGGCCTCCCTCGCTCCCCACTTACGCACACTTTTTGCCCTGATTGCAGCTTGTCCCTTCCTTTTGTTTAGTTGATTTTCAATGTGTACAGGCCAGTAGGCCATTCTTTCTTTATTTTAAAAAATGTATAAATTCTATGATTTTTTAAAAAAATGTGTTCAAAGGCTATGAATTCCAGGCCCTGTCCTGGTGTTTTTCAGGATAAAGTTAAGTAGTAGTTTGTTTTAAGAAAAACACATACTTACATAACGTGCACAGAGATTAAAGATTTCCAAAATGTTGGCTTTCATTTTTAGGTTTAAGAAGTTTGATCATAGATATTTACGGAAAATACTAATCCGAAAGAACCTGCCAAAATCAAGCATTGTTTCTTTATACAAGAAGCTGGAAATGAAACAAGCAATTGAGATGGTAGAGACTGGGATGCTGAGTTCTACAGCCTTTTCCGTACCTCATCAGTAAGTCATATCTGCCCTTTGATCTAGACTTTCAGTGTTAGAATTCCACCGGGGCACTAACTGATTAATACTAGGAGTGAAGAGGCAGATACATAAGGAAGGAATCATGAAAAAAAGATGATCCAAGTCTTAGTATTTTGTAGCTTGAGCTATGCTCAACCTGTTTCGCCTAGTTTCTGAAAATTACTTTATAGCAAAAGTTGCCTACTATAGTTGCATAACACCTTTCTTTGGGAGGGAGGGGCGAGTGAATTTATAGAATTATAGCATATTTTGCAAGATTTTCTCTTTCTTTTCTTGATTAGAAATCTCTGGCCCAGCCCCGTGGCTTAGCGGTTAAGTGCGCGCTCCGCTACTGGCGGCCCGGGTTCGGATCCCGGGCGCGCACCGACGCACCGCTTCTCCGGCCATGCTGAGGCCGCGTCCCACATACAACAACTAGAAGGATGTGCAACTGTGACATACAACTATCTACTGGGGCTTTGGGGGAAAAAAGGAGGAGGATTGGCAATAGATGTTAGCTCAGAGCCGGTCTTCCTCAGCAAAAAGAGGAGGATTAGCATGGATGTTAGCTCAGGGCTGATCTTCCTCATGAAAAAAAAAAAAGAAATCTCTACCCTTTAATCTCTGTTCATTTGATTCTGCTAATCCTACTGTTGCATTTCTCCCATAAGTCATTTCTCTTCCCCTCCTGCATGAGGAGAGACCAGGTCAGCATCCTGTGACACTAACATGGATTTGAGGATGAATGGTGGTAGCAAGAGGTGTGGAGGTTGGTGTGCTCTTTAAAGAGAAAGCTGAGTTGATAGTTGTGTCTAAGGCAAAGATCTATGTGAGACTGTGAGATTTGCCTTGAGTCTGTGTGGGACCAGCTTGGAATAGAAGCAGGGAGGGAACTGGCTTCCTGTGGAACAGAGGACCTTAGGGAGTTGGTGTTGAGGCAGGGTAAGACTGATATATAAATCCATCATTACAAGATGATTCCCTTTGAAGCATGGTGCTTCTGTTGGACCATCTGGAAATCAGTTGTCCCAAGAGCTGGCTAGATATTTTTTAAAGCTGCTTTAACTCTCTGACATTTAACAAGAACCCCCTTAATGTCACAAGAATTAAACCACCCCCCAAAGATGCCCAGTTTTATTCCAAGAAATTGTTTATGAATTGGGAAAATTAGTCACAATGTACATTTAGGATAAGGAACACCAGCCCCTCCAGCCTGTCATCTTCAGCAGGTGAATTCACTTGATCATGAGCTTCAATTATGCCCTCATGTTTGAAAAGCAAGCTGAGAGAAGAGCTAAGAATAGATAGCACTAAAATTGTCACCGATGCCTGAGTGTTATTTCTCATCCCTTACTTGCTAATGAATCAGAAACACCATCACCTTTCTTCCATGGCCGGGGAAAAATCTAGTCACGTCCCTGAGGGCATCTTGGTGTAAACAGAAAGCTTTCTGCCTTAATTCTCAGTGAAACTGTTTTTGTGGTTTATTTTGGTGTTGCCCATTACGTGGCTTTAAGGAAACTTCTGATACTAAAATGGGAATGAGCTAACAAATATTTATTGGCAATGCCATGTTGAGCTATATTGGAGCCTGAGGCAGAAGGAAAAATCAGTAATATTGATTCTGTGTTTATTTCAAATATTGGTATTTTATTCATCATGGATTTTTTTTTTTGCATTGATCTTTATTTTCTAAAATATTGCATTCAAATCCTACTTGACTTGATTACTGAACTTCTTTGGCATCCCCTTCCCAGAGGCTAGTGCCTCACTTGCCTCACCTTAGGCCCAACCCTGTTCCTTGCACACCTATGATGTGCCAAGTACTGAAAGTAGACTCCGTCCCTGCTCATGAAGCTCATACCCTAGCAGGGTCACGATGTTAATGACAAAGGTCACACAGACATAATCATAAAGTCTAGGAAGCTGTGAGAGTATAAGAGGTGACCCTCATCTGGTCCCCAGGCGTTTGACCTGCTCACCGAGGGATGGACGGGAGTTACTTCAATGCACGTCGAGAGGGCAGGACAGGTGCAGACAGTTTAGACCATGAAGAACTTCCTCAATTGGTTTGCATGCTAGTTATGTGAGCATTCGGTCTAGGAATGTAGGGGTACTTATCTCAAATGAGAATCAGTCTATCATGTGCTAAAACAGATTTTGAATCTCTGTATTCCATTGCATTGGTCATAAGCAGTTGCCCCAGTTTCTGACCTCAAGGCAATTTTTAAGCCAGCTTTATTTGGAGAGGGCCTTTCTGTTGAGTCAACTATTTTTTCCGACATTGATTCAAGATTAGTAAGAGAGCCTTATAGATTAGAGATATTTTTTTTCCCTCCTATAGCCCAAACCATTTAGTTAACCGAGGTAAGAGAGGAGATTTTTAAACTGATACAAGTTTAAATACAAGTTTAGTATTTAAATTGCATTTATTTGATCTCATCAGAAATCTGTAGGACGTCAAGCAAAAAGGAATTCCTCTCCTAAGATCAAAGCAGCTCATTTCTTAAAAAACAAACCTTCATACAATAATAGGAAAAAGAAGTGTGTACTCAGCTCGCTTTTTATTTTTCTGTATGAGATGATAACAACAAAATGCACATATATTTTTTTCTTTAGAAGTTTAAGCAATTGTTCTACAAGAGGTTAGATTTCCAAACTTTGTGACCTTCAGGAGAACACTACCACCAGGAGTTGTCTATAGCACAATGCAGATCATGTTGATCCTATAGAATTCCAAGACTTTTACATGCATTATTTAATTTGACCCTCAAAACAACCAATGGAACAGGTAGAGTATATACTTGGATTATTATTTTAAATATGAGGCACTCATTTTACCAATGAGTAGTAAGCTCTTAGAAATATCAGAGGATAGAGGCTCAAACTGATTAAAAGTGTCAAAGCTTTAAAAAATATTTGGTTAATGTTAAAGTGATATTAAAACATTTATAAATTTATAGGCATAACCAACTACAGCTATATAACTTCAAAATATTATATTTTGAACTCCCAAATAATTTTAACATGTCATTTATAAAAAATCATAATTTATTGTAGTTTAAGAATTTTTTAATTGATTACGTATGGACAGGTATAAGTTTACATTTATGCGTTCTTACACCGAAGACTATAGAATGAAGATTCTGTTGGATTTTCACTTCCGTGATGGAACATTGTGTTGTGGGGAGCTGGGCCCTCTTCTCTGCCACTCTTCACTCATTCTGAATGTTGGTCATCTTGATGACCTTTCTAAAAAGACACTAGGAGACCACAGACACAGAAGAGCTGTCGGGTACCATTGATTACTCAGTGGGCACATCCTTCCATCATCTTAGCGTATATTCCCCATGGATTTCATATATAAAGCTATTAAAAGAGGATAGATTCTCCTAAATGAATCGGGATATAATATTTGATCTTTGGGGAATTCATCTTGTGGCAGGAATATAACATCTACTAGATTTCTTATTTATATTGCTGTGTTTAGAATTGAAGCCTCTTTTTACATTATTATAGCATCTGATAAAAAAAAGTTAAGAGAAATGTGAATCTTTTATTCGAATACTTTTAGATTCAGATTTTCCCAGTTTGATTTTAATAGTCATGAAATTAGCAGAGGATTTTGATTTAAGGTGACAGAGATTTCCTTTGTGGATAATGAATGAATGTTCCGGTGACAAGCGTCTTTCCATTTATAATTCTACTTTTTTGACCCAGAGATTATTAACATTCAGTTTTTCCAAGGATTGTATCTTCCCTGTGCTCCTGATATGGTCATTTGGGATGGTTTTGCTGATGAAGTGGCATGTAGGAAACTCCAGTATCACCTGGACACTGGAGCCCAAGTGAATGATTCCTCTATATGATTTTATAGCCCCAGCTTCTCAGTGTGCACCAATGGGAGAGAGTGCCTCTGGGATGCCTGGATTGCATATCCAGCTAGTAGCCTGAATGGACCTTAATTAAGTCTGGTCCTTCCCAAAGTGGTCAACTGTAAACGAAGGAAAGTGCCAAGTTACATCTACGTCTAATCTCAAGTTTAACTTTTCCATTACCTTTACCAATGGTTTTTTCTATTTGGTTGTTTTATCATGAACACGGAAAATGGACCTGTTTGATTAGCTGTTGTTTCTGCTTAGCAGTAGATGACTTCCACCATAAAAAGGAATGTGTTCAGATGGTGGGAATGTGTAGGTGTATCTAAATCAGAATAAATTTTATTTGAAGGACATTTAAACACTTAAGTTGAAATGCCCTGATAATAATGTTTAAATCAACAAGGGTGGTAACTGAATATCAATAGTGTTGACATTTGAAGCTCTGTGATATCAAAACTCTGATTTTAATGGTTTTGTAGAAAGGGCATTAGTCAGTCTACAGATAGCATTGCTAAATAAATCCTGGCATACTGTGATATCCAGTATCCAAGTCCTTAAAAATCTTTTACCAATTGCATATTGCTTATAAAATATTCTTGCTACTTATGGCTATATTGCCACTAATGTGTGGGGAAAAATACTCAAAAAATGGCCTGTATTGAAACTGATAACTACTTATCTCTGTGATCAATTATCCTAAGACCTTTGCAAGCAGTTATTAGCACAGCAGTGTCCTTATGCATTCTAAAGAGCTGCAGCTGGAAAGGAAAAAATCAGAACTCTGCAAGTGTTTATACCAAGATGTTAAGAGGGGTGATAGTGGTAAAAGATGGGTTTAATTTTCTTTAGTTCTCTCTTTTCTGTTCTTATGTTCTACAGTGGACATATGTTATTCGTACACCAGAAAGTTTTTAGAAATTACTGCCACTAGATTGAAATCATTGAAATCAAATATATTTGTCACATGAGAATTCTGCACTTAGCAAGGTCATGACTTTGAAATCCTCAGAAGACAATTGTGCGTTGATGCTAACCTGGGTGTATTTGGATTTTGAACCCTTTCCAAGCGGTGAGGGAAGCCATGTGGAGCTGGTCAGCGCAGAGGCAGCAAGCAGTCAGCTGCTTCTAGAATCTCACAGAATGCCCGGTGTCTCAGAGCTGGGCTGGCTTCCATGGTGGACATGCTCTAATTCTCCTGATAAAATATGATTCTAGTTTCTTACAATTATTTTTTAACCAAAGATAAAATCCCTAAAGGGGCAATTCCAAGATAAATGTACTCATAAAATTTTAATACTCTCTTAGATCAGTGCTACTGAAAATGTGGTGCGTGGGTGGTGTGGCCATGAGCTCTTTGTCACCTGTCCGAGGTGAGAGAAGTACAGACCTAACCAAGAGTCAACCTTGACCGAGTAAACTTATTTCTGTTGAATCTAACAGTAAAACATTTGGTTTGCATTTTATGGTATCTTTTTAAAAATGTATTTTGTAATAATTGATTTTTATTGTATTTTACAAATGTGTCTGTTCAAAACAGATAAGTAGGAAAAAAAATAACTGGTTTGTCACCCCCTTAAACCCCCTTTTGGAAAGTAAGTTAGAATAATTCCCATATAAAAGCTACAGGCAAAGAAACCTCATTTTCAAAATGTAAGTTGGGACACGTGTACTGACATTTCACATGAACTTACTGAAACTATCGGAAAGGTTATATAAAAACAGGGGTTCTGGAAATTAGAACTCCTACAAGTACATTGATACTTTCGTGGCACTCTCACCGAGATAGAAGAATAAAGTTTGGCTTCCCTCCAATGATATCTCCAGGGCCCAGAGGATACAAGGAACCAAAAGGCTTTCCCCTGAAGATGTGGAATCCATGAGGGACCTTCTGACACACAACATGTACCAAGTTCGACAAAGGGTGTGTATAAGCCTCCTGACTTGTCCCTATTGCCTGTCCTTGGAATCGCTCCATCAGGAATCAGTTCTTGTTCACATTATCTTCTCTAAAGCAGCCTCCTTGCTGACCAATTTCTCTTGCTTAGTTTGGAGAACAGAAAGTTAATTGTTATGTTTCTCCTGCAAAATTGGCACCATGGTATAAAAAGAACTGCAAATCCAGTTGCTGTCCCTAGGGGTCAGGCTGCCCTAGCTCTGCAGCCTGGTGCTTTCCAGAACCAGCAGGTCTCCCTCTCCCTCCAGAGTCGACAAGTGGTGGATCTCATCCACGGGACCACAGAAAGAAGATGGCCCCAGGACACGATGACAGTCGAGTTGTCTCAGTCTGATTGATTCGAACAGAGCCTAGAAAACTGAGATAGTTTAGATTAGAATGTTGGACCTGCAATGCTGAAAGCCTAAATAAAAGGAGACATTATTTTTCAATTTTGGAAAAAGGCACAGAGTCTATATCAGCACCTGGGAACTGGTCCAAAGTACATACACAGCAAGAACTTTTCTGGGGGCAGTGAGTAAGTCCTTCTGAAATTTTGATTTAGTCAAATGATATTTAAACTTGTGTCCTCTAATTAGAGTTTTTTTTCAAGTTTGAGGATTCAAGTGAACATCCCAATTATTGAATGTAATTATAAGTGAATTCATTGTTAGATCCTTGGTTTTTGTGACTATGTCATAGATCATAGTCTAAAGGGGACCAAAAAAAATCACCTAGTCAAAGCTTCTCATTTTCAAGTAGAAGATGCTGAGGTTGGGGAGTGGTTTATGTGACTTGTTTAAGGTCACAAAACAAATCCAAGTTAAGAACCCTGGTCTTCCAACAACCACCCAGTGCTCTTTCCATGACTCCAGACTCACATGATCCAGTGAAAGTGAATGTTTTCTGGTTTCCTGTTTCCAAAAGGTCAATGATTAAGGGGAATGTGTCAGCAAAAGAGCCCTGCACTTCCTCAAGGAATATAGGTCAGCATTAATCAGCACGCTTAGAGTAAATTCCACAGCTTTCAAATCATTCCAAGTGAAACTGTTTCAGTGAGATTATCACCTTCTGCCTTAGATAAAAAGTTAAGAACTTCCTGGTTCAAAGAATGTCAGCTAGCTTAGTGAGGGCCAGAGCCCAAAGGAAGCCTGGTAATCATATTGAGGAAGGTTGAATTTAGGGAAAGGTCCAGAAATGAAGATAGGGATCCTGAGACTCCAACCCTATCTACAATGAGGTTAACTGCCCATTCTCTCTTTTTTCCCTTTTATGCAGTTTCCCAGATAGCCACCCTCTTCTTTTATAAGTGTGCCTATTCGGTCTGTCCCCCGGGTTTCTCCCTTTTAAGCTATGCAGTATCCCCCTTCCTTGTTGCTCCCAAATAAGCACATAGGCCTCTTTTGATTTAAAGAGTTTATTGCTGAGCACCAAGGAAAGTCACATGGGGAGAACATAAATAATAAACAGAGGAGAGTTCCAAGCTCTGAGATGGCTTCTGCCTCCACTTTTGTTCCTTTTAGAGAGTGAAACTTACCAGTCCCCTCCCGTTCCTGTCTTTCCATTCTCACCCTGTCTTTTACATAGGTCATGTGTCTCCTCTCCTCCATCATGATCCTTGTGCTCTCTTGAAGGAAAAACCGCTCTAAAGGTGCAACCCAGGACAACTCTCTGCTTTGTTTCTAGTGGACAATCTACAATTTTGAGGACTGTCACAAAAGGTGACATCTGTTGTCCTCTAGCTGGGGTGATTGGTCACTAGGCCTCACGCTGTGCAGGGCTAGTGGTTGGGGCGTTTCTCAGTGTTCACATCTCAGAAGAGGCCGTCTTGGGAGTCAGGAGTCACTCAGAGCACGGTTTAACTCTGGGGGATTATAATACACAGTTGTTCTGTACCTGAGCTGGCCCTGCTGGGTCTGTTGCACTCCTGTCTGAAGGCCACCCCTCAGCACATCCAGAACAGGGTCGTCACTGGTGGGGAAGGTGAAAGACTAACCTCTGGAGGTTCTCAGGGGGACAGCCACAGCAGACGCTCTCTGGAATGCAGTGAGGATGGAGACTGAGAAACACTCTTTCTAAACTTACAAGTGAAGAAACTGGCCTCGGTCTAGACCCTAAGGGCAGATCAGAGACTGGTGGGCAGTCCCTGGGGTGGCCTCAATGAGCAGATCACTCTCTGAATTTCTACATACTTTCAAAGGAGGAAAACAATTTATTCAACTTCAGTTCCCTTCAGCAAATATTTAATGCAAGTCTAGAATGCAGATCTTTCTCCCATAGAACTCAAGTTTTAGTGGGGAATACAGGCTTTAAACAATCACCAACTCCATTAAATGGCAGAAATGGAGGAAGGAGAGGGAAGAAACTTGCATATACATTATATTCATGGGATCTACTATGCTCCCTACAGATAGGCAGATTAGACAAGCATATAGGTGACATGATGTGAGGCAAAACAGAAGAAAAAATGTCCAAATGTTCCTTAAAGTACAGCCTCCCCTCAAGTCAAAGTGTGGGAAATTTCTATTATTAGCATTCCTATACATGGCAATATATGTTTATACACACACAAATGTGCACACTGAGTGAATTAAGTTTTGCATGAATTTAACATTGATGAAAAATTGTAAAAGGTATTGGTATTTACACTTGTAAAATTGTCTTGGTATTCTAGGTGCTTAACTTTTAAATATTTTTCATGATAGTATCATAATGTCGTTCTTTAATATCTCAATGTACAAAATGCACTTAGGTTGAGGTCCCTCATTAGTGATGGAGGATAAGAATCCATATTTTAAAATGTCTTTAAAATTCAAATTTTTTGCCAAATTCCTGTCAGATTGGTTAATTTGTCAAGAGTGGCTGGTAAAGATCTCCCATGAGGAGAAGGTGAAGGTTGGCTCTGCTGCTACCTCATTGCTCCCTTAGCCCCCAACCTATGCCTGATTTATGGAACTACTTTTAGACAACTGTCTACTATGTGAGGATTAATTTAGTTAATAGATAATAAAAGCCACAAATCTACTTAACTGGATGTATCTACATTAAAACACAAACAGTAAACTAAAAACCAGTGAAACCAGTGAAGACACTGTGGTCAATGCCTCCTTGTTACAAACACCCTCTTCTGTTCTGACAGGAAACTTAACTGTCTCATATATCGACCAAGTGAGGGTCTAATTTCTTTTGTATTTTTGTGTAAAAATAAATGGAAATACAAGTATTAGTATTTTCTTTTCCCACACTGGGGATCATCTTGTGGCATCCCTTGGAGTGTATGCACCCCACCTAAGAGACCACTGGCCTGAAGGATGGAGCCTCGTCTCTTGGCAGGTTGTGCCCAGCTCCTTCCTGCACCTCTAGTCTCATGTCTCACCATAGTTTGATTAAGTACTTCATTCTCCTGTGATAACAAACAAATTCCGAGCTCTACTCCAGTGGACCCTCCTCCCTCCCTCCCAAGTTGTTTCACAGCTATGTCTTCTCTCATGTGTTCCCACTTCCTGGAAGGAACATCCACTCATCTTTCAAGACTCAGCTCAGTGCAGTGCACCTTTCCCACACAAGACTGGATTACATGTCCTTTGCCTGTACTCTATAAGTCCCTGCAGAACCCAATATCTTATCACTTACCTGATCACATAACAGTATATGCTTATTTGTTTGACTTCCTTAGTAGACTATGAGCCTTTTGAAGACCAGAATTCTAATTTATTCATTTTTAAAAATCTCCGTGCCTACCATGGCACCTGGCATACAAAGCATTTGCTCTATTGCTGAACATCCTTATTGAAGCATCCATTAACCAGGAGAGAGAGCACTGCAGTCCCGATTCTATTATCGGGACCTACTGACCCAGAGAAAGCTGGGTATTCACTGCTGAACCTTGGGTGAGCAAGAAGGGGGAGAAGAAGTTCCAGTTAAGTGCATTGCAAACATCTGTCTGAGGACCAATGTTGGTCTATAGTCCAAGACAAGTTTTCACTGCCCTGGGGTAAGGACAAGGAAGAAATTTTTCATAAAGCTAAATTGATTCAATTTGAAGGCCTGTTCTTTCTTCAAGATTATGTCCTTCCTACTCTTTTGGTTAAAAGACCTCTTCCTTTTTGAACTGATGGTGGTAATAATAATTGGTTGATTTTTTGTATGTATCTTTAGTTGGCAAAATTAAAAAATAGCAACCTTATTGAAATTCCCAAAGTAGTTTTGACATTTTCCTGATCTATTAAATCCAAATGTTCAGTAACCATTGGCCTGGAGTAAAAAATATCGCCTGGGAAAGAAAGTGTGTGGGGAGCAGCTGAAGCCTGTGGGTATCTTAGGGGAGGACCACTGCAGGGATAATATAGGGAAAGTACAGACAGAGAGCTCTGCTTTGCGAGCCAGAAGGCACAGGCTCCGACCACAGCTCTGTCCTGCTAGGGGTGGCCTTGGTCACAGACCTTTCTTCTTGGGGCCACAACTTTCTCCTTTGTAATTGAGGCAAATGCTCAGATGACCTCCATGTGCCTTCCAGCTGTAACAGTCTTAGTCTGTGACATTTCCATGACCTCCTGAGGCTCAAAGTTGTACTGGAGATGTCGTTACTTATTTGATGTTCTGTTGTTTCTGCAGACCCCATCCTACAACAAATATAGCCTCAAACCCCAAACAAGTGAGAAGCAGGCTAAAGAGATTCTGATCCGCCGCCAGAACACCTTAAGGGAGAGTATGAGGAAAGGTCACAGCCTGCCGTGGGGAAAGCCGGTAAGGGGGGACTGTTGACTCACCTGAGAGCTGGGCCCGTCCCTGTACCGGGCGTCCTCGGGTGACTACCATTGACATTTAAACAAAACCACCCACTTGTTGCCAGAGAAATACAAAAGTATGAGAATGTAGGACACCGGACAAGCTCTGTCTCTGGGTCCAGGGCCTTAGGAATCCGAGGTGTCTGTCCCTGCAGTCCAAGGCAGCAAACTGCCCTCCAGGGTGGGCCAGTGACTGGAACACACTCCCTGGGCTGTGTGTCTAGACCAGATACCATGGTGTCCAGGTACTGAACATCCCAGGGGAACCTCCGTGGACTGGGACCCTGGCTCTGGGAAGCTTACTTCTCCCCCAGGAAGATACAGGGAAGAATTTGTTCTTGCCAAGACTCCTGGCCCTCATCTTCACATCACCCACTGTGCAGCTGCACTATTCTATTCGAGGCCATATCAAAGCAATCTTACTGGGACTTCTGGATGGAGGTTGGGTCTGGAGTAGACCCTAACCTCTACCCTAATCTCTGTGGGGTTGTGGGAGTAACTTTGAGAAGTTCATAATGGTCCATTTTATCATGAGAGGGAAGGGAAGTATATATTGAAGGCTGAAGCATTCTGTTTTCTTTAAACACAAGTAACTGAAAGCCAGTAATCCACACAAGATACCACAGTATAGGGCACTGTCCTTCACTTCGTTTGCCATGTCAAGCTCCAAACTGCAGTAGCTAACTCCGTTTATTTCTACTTGTTACCCTCAGGCTGGGACCAAAAACATCCGCTACCTCTCCTTTCCCTATGGCGATCCTCAGCCAGCCAGAAGAGACAGGAGGGCTGCTGAGTTCACAGGTAACCTCGTGCGCCTGGCTGCTCTCCTTCTTTTCTGTAAAGGGTTAGATAGTAAATATTTTCATGGGCCAAAAGGCAAAATCAAGATTATATAGGTACTTATATGACAAGAAAAAGAGAAAATAACTTTTTTATTAATCTAATTCAGAACTTTATTTATAGACACTGAAATTTGAATTTCATATAATTTTTACTTGTCGGGAAATATTCTTCTTTTAATTTTTTTTCAGCTGTTTAAAAATGTAACAACCCTTCTTAGCTCATGGGCCATACAAAAGGAGGCAGCAGGCTGGACACAGCCCAAGGGTCTTACAGAAATGTAAAACGGACACTTTTTTGAAAATGTGTAATTCACCCATGGCTTAAAAATTGGCGGAAGTCTCCGAGGTTGTTAAATTTTACTAAAATAATTTCATCAAATTTACTGATTAATGTTCCCCATTTAATATCTAATTCTTAAGTAGAATTCTTAGAATTATTGAAACTGCCTATCATTCTAATAAAAGCCAAGTTATTATTTTTAAAGTGTATATATAAAATAATTTTCTAATAGCAAAAGGTGACATATAATATATAGAACATGCCATGCTATCTATTTTAATTTTCCTAAATTTTTAAGACTTAAAATCATCTTGGAAATTCAGATGAACTAAACACATGGAATTTGAGAATTAAATCATTGAAGAGTGAATGTAATTATTCTTTAAAATCAAACTTGACTTTTTTCTGATTTAACAATATGTTTGTTTCAAAATCAATCAGTAGGGAAAAGCATAAAAGAAAGTTAAAAGCACTTGAAACCCCAATACCAAGATAGAATCACTATAGAACATTTTGGTAAGCAGCCTTCTATAATTCTTTCTACACCATCCTGATCCTTACTCTACCTATACTTGATACCAAAAAAAAAAAAAAAAATTGAACACACAGCATCATATTATTAATAAAATCATAGTATAGTCATTGTTCTGTAATTTTTATAGAAAGTTGCCTAGTCAACCATATGTTGTGGACGTATTTCCGTGTCAATAGATAGGAACCTAGTAATCATTTTTAATGACTTAATAACAGCCAATTATATAAAAGCACCATAGGTTATTTAGGTAAGTTCTATTAACAAATATTTAAGATATTTCCAATTTTTAGTGAATATAAGCAATGATATATGATAAGCACCTTGGATCACTTGTGATTGATCTTTGCATAAATAACCCATTATAGTCATGTGCTGCATAACGACGTTTTGCTCACATATATAACAGTGGTCTCATAAAATTAGTACCATATCACCCAGGTGTGTGGTAAGCTATCCCATCTAGGTTTTGTAAGTACGTTCTATGATGTTTGCGTGATGAAATCACCTAATGACGCATTTCTTGGGAGGTATCTCCGTTGTTAAGCAATGCGTGACTGTATTCCCTTAATACGTTTTCCTGGGAGTAAAATTTTTAGGTTAAAAGTTATATATATTTAAATCTACCCTCACATCAAAAATATGTGAGAAAGGTCATTTCTGAATACTTTTATCATCACTGGGCTATTGTCAAACTTTTGAGTAATCTACCATATGGTAGGATAAAATTTATATACCATATTTAATTTTCATATGCATCTCTTTGATTTTTAGTGAGGTTGAACATCTTTTCATATGTTTAAAGTCAATTATATTTCCTTGGGGGAAGTTTTTATTTCTGTCTTTGCCCATTTTTTAAAATTTATTTGTTTGCTTTCTTAAAATGAATTTGAAGAACACTATATAACAAGGATATCATCCATTGTCTCATATTTGTTGCCAATGATTTTTCCTCAAGTTTCACATTTATCTTTCAGTTTTTAGACTTTTTTGCCATTCAGAAATTTTCATTCTGATTAATCAAATCTGCTCAATCTTCCTTGCGAGTGACCTGCCCAGCCTCTCCCTAGTGCATGGAACCCACTTTCTAAAACCAGGTGGTCAACTGACTGCAGTTGCAATCCGTCCCCTGAGGGGGAGCCACACTCAGAGGAGTGGTTGGAAACCAGGAGAGGGAGCAGAGGGAAGCGAAAGGAATGGCTCTTGGGGGCAGAAGTATCCAGGCTGTTGTTTTCTTAGGTGGTATTCCAAGCACCAAAGGATCCAGAGGAACTCTGGTCCCAGGCCAGACTGTAGAGCACAAATTAAAGGGAAGTCATGAAAAAATGGACGAATATACTAACTAATGTGTTCTATATTCAAAGCAATTGATTCCTGCCCCCTGCCCTCCTCAACTTCCTGGCTACCTTGTCAGGATAATTTGGACATATTTTGGAAAAACATTATTGCACAGGGTATTTTAAGATTTTCTGATATCCCACAATTTAAACACATCTTGTCAAGTGTAAACCTGTGTGAGTATTAGTTCTAGCTGTGGAGTTTTTGTTTTGTTTTTTTCAGGAGAGAGTAGAGAGCGGGAGAAAGAAGCCTGCTTTCAGATTTAAAAATAAAGGTCTCAAAATACCTAAATTCTCAAGAGAATATTTAAAAGGAAAATAAATTTATAAAATTAAAACTTTGAAGAAAGGAGAATAAAAGAGATTTGTAAAATATATTCCTTCGAAGATGTGTGCATAGTGAAGTAGGGAAAAGGCAATGTCCTAGACATGGGTTAAGTATTTGGAAGGTCATCCCGGAGGGGACTTTACATAGAAACCCGATGGCTTCTCTCCTTTCATGAGGAGCCCTCCCGACCCACGTGTGGCACATATAAAGGAGACAGTGACAGCCGGGGGAGAGCTGATGTGCAGGTGGACAGGCTCCGCCCAAGCTCCAGTCCCACCTTCATTGTGTGATACTGAAAGTCACTTAACCTCTTGAAACCTCAGCCTCTTTACCTCCAAAATGAGGATCATAATTTTACTCATCTCAAAGGGTTGTTTGAGGATTAAGTGGCATAATAGATGTGAAATAATTAGCACAGTGACATAGTAAGTTCTCAATAAATGGATGTTACCAACATTGTCATTGCCATTGTGTGCCAGCCACAATCTCTTCACCTTCTTATTTCCTTTGAGAGGAAAGCATCTAGTCAGGGTTGTTTTGCCACACATGGCTCTCTGTTGTGACCCCCCTCCCAACCCTGTTTCTCCATGATTGGCTATTTCAAGGTCAAAGGGGTAAAACTCAGATTTCATGCCTTCTGGTAACCACTGATTAAAAAACAAACCAAGGTAAAACCAATCATTATCATATCACAGTATCATGTAACGTTCAGTTTAGCATTGGTCTTTGACAAGTCAAAGCAGCTTTGTGCCTTATGGCCTAATGCCTATGGCCCATTGATCTGATTTTGTAAAAAAAAAAACCACTCTCTTACTTACCTGGAGAAGACTAGCTTGATGCATAGGTTTCCATGCATTTCTATTTATTTATAACGTTGCGCACATAGCGTCTATTCCACTCCCCTCTTGGGGTAGCTACCTTGAAAAAGGAAAATCACGCTGATCAGAAAGTTGAGTATAAGAGCTGGAAGCTCAAGAAGGAATCAGCTTCACTCTGAGTTCTTGGCATCTGGATACTAAGTTTTAACTCGCTGATCTTAACTCTTGTTCTTTCCTCCTTGTGTCATATATTCCCAGACAATGACAGCAGTGATTCAGAATTCCCATCCATCACGTTCAACGTACACTCTCGAACAGGGTTGCTTCAAGACAGACACCTGACACAAGAAATAATCCCGATGAAGAGCTTACACAGAGGAAGGAGGCCATCTGACTTCAGTTATCAAAGACAGAGAAGCCGAGAAGAGCATGTTGGTGGAGGCAGAAGGGCGGCTTTAAGGCCCAAACCACTGTTTCATGCAGTCGATGAGGAGTATGAATCTGAAGAGGAGAGTGAGCAAGATGTCTCAGTGATTGGGTCCAGACAGTCACCTGAGCACAGACCTAGCAGGGAACACTACAAGTCCCACAGCCCTTTGCTTCGAAGAAAATAGTTTTATTGTCTGCAGGAACGTTTCTGTGTTTTTCAGGAGCCTGTCTTCCTGTTATTGTGAAAGAAGGATTTTCAGAGTTCTGAAGAAAGCTATTGAGTTGACTTTTTTGGAAGATATCAGACATGCATCTATACGAGGCAGGGAGATTTTTCAGAGGCCTGAGAGCAGCTTGTAGGCTCTGCCACATTCGTAGCTGGTGTACTTTGTAGATGAATTCCCTGTGAGTGATAGATGTTAATCCCCCCCAAAATTCTTCACTAAGAATTCCTAAGAGTGTGTGATCCATGTAACTTATTGAGATACAAAAGTGATTTGTCAGTAATTCACCTTCAGCATATGCCTGTGCACCCCGTAATCAAGTTAGAGCTAGGAGGGGCCTTAGAAATGGCCTGGCCCAACCCCCTGTGTTTACAGATAAAGACACTTAGCCCAAGGTCATGTGGGGAGTTGCTGGCTTCACAAGCTGATTGTCCTCTCTCCCAAGTGAATGCATTCGATTTCAATTTTGATATGATATAATAATTATATTTCTGAAGAGAGGCAAAATTTGTCATAACATTGCTATATTTAACTAGTAGCAATAATAGACAGATGTGTTACAGACTATAGGATTAATCTGTTCACAGATTAATCTAGTGGATTAATCAGTGGTCTATTTTTATAGTTGGAATATTTATTTTAAAAACAAATATTAGAAACAAAACAGCCATAAACAGGCTTTACTAGCAATGACACAAACATCAGGTATTTATGAGCTGTGCATTGTAGGGTATGATAGTTTGCTCTAGGGTTTCTTTTCTAGACTGTAACAAAGTTTATTATTTTTAGAGCATTATCTAGTCATTTTTTTAACCGACGTATAGTTGACATACGATATTATGTTAGTTTCAGGTGTACATCATAGTGATTCAACATTTATACACATTACAGAATACTCACTACAATAAGTCTCGTTACCATCTGTCACCATACAAAGTTATTGCAATATTATTGACTATATTCCCTGTGCTGTACATTACATCCCTATGACTTATTTATTTTATAACTGGAAGTTTGTATCTCTTAGGCCACCTTACCTATTTCACCCAACTCCTCACCCTCTCCCCTCTGGTAACCACCAGTTTGTTCTCTGTATCTAAGGCTTGAAACATTTTCCAATTTAATTTTCCATCCTCATCATCCCCAAACATGACGTTGAACCTCACACTCCAGCTCATCAACTTTGCTAGATGACTTTATCTTTCCTCCCTCCCTCCCCGCTCTTCCTCTTCTCACTCTTCTGGCCACCTATAGATTAACAAATATTTATTAAGTGCTATTTATTACGCCAAGTGGCTAATCAGTAATAATCAATTAACCATAATATCCTTTATCATTGCTGTTTCTGATATCTCTTACCATCCCAAACTGATTTAATCCTATGCGTCTTTAAAGGCCATGATCCAATGCACCCTGCCCCTAGGCCCACCGTGATCCCGTGAATCAGAAGGGATCAAGTGATCTCCCTCCTCCTTGGTGTTCCCACAGCACCTGGGACGTGTCATGGAACTTCTCTGGGGTTACACTTATACACGGGCATGTGCATCCGATGGTCCATGGTCCGAAGGACAGGGAGGATAGTTTGTTCATTTTAAATTTTATCCATTCATCAGCTGTGTCTTTTATCTCTTGGCCTTACCTTTTTTCTATGTGTTTTTTTTTTAGCTTTTATCAACTTTTTCTCTTTGTTATTGTAGTGCCTCGTACCTGGTAGATTATTTATAAATGTTGAAATGACAACGACAATTTAGAGCTGGAAAGGACATTAGAGAGGATGTTGTCAGACATTCTTATTTTCCAGGTGACAAAAACAAGGTCTTGAGAAGCTGCCTGATGCCAGTTCAGGGTCTGCTTTTCCTTGAAGGACGTGGGCTTGCCCTCTAGTGTAACCCATGGAAACCAGCGACTGTCAAAGAACGTGTGACGGTCCCCGGATTGTATTTTGTGAACAGCATTCACTCAGGTTCCTGCTGCAGTGGTAGAAATGGCAATCAAAAGAGCCCACTTGTCTCTCTTCTTCTGAATCTGAAATAGAAGACTGCTTCTTCTAAGTTGTCTAAATATTTTGACTTTAATAAAAATTATACTCAACCAAATAATAGTAATCAGCCCAAAGGGATAGAAGCACGTATAAAACTCAAGGATCTCTGGGTTTTTCTTTTTGTTTAAACTAATCGACAGTTCAAGCAACAGAAAAAACTTGATGCCCCATGAGAGGGAGTCAGTGAGTCATGATTCTTAAACGGCAGATGGAGATGCAGAGACAGAGAGGGGTTGTCAGAAATCACCTTTCCAAAGTCATATGCGAGGCAGATTCTTGAGAAGTGAAGAGTCCCTATATCCCTTACTGGACTCTCCACAAAATGACAGGAATCCACACTGTGAAAGCCCCTCCCCAGAGTAGCCAGCAAGGTCTAAGGATGAGTGGACTCCATCTAACTTCTGTTTTTCTCTGAGATGCTGGTGCCTTTTGAGAAAGGAGTGGTGGGATTCAGTGAGTCCGTTGGATCTTGCCCCTTTAATTGGTAGAAGCCACAATAGAGTTGTTTGCTCTGAGGTCATTTGTTCACATAGACACTGTCTGGCCAGGGCAGCCCGAGTCTGGGAAGAGGCCCTGGAGCTCCTGCCTGAAAGGTGAGGCAGACTGAGGTCCCTCGTGGTCCTGGCAGCTCTGCTAGACTTGGAGAGCTCATGGTGGAAATGGCTGGTTACCTCCAGGTAACCTCTGGTTACCATCCAGGACTGTTTCAAAATGCAGTGTGGTCTGATCTTCACTCCATCAGTGACAGCCCATTCTGGGCACTGGTTGAGGGTGTAACAGGTGCTGCCCCAGGGATGCTCTTGGCTATCTTGGGTATTGGTTTCACATGATGAGACCCAACAGGCACCAAGCAGTGCAGCAGAGCAAGTTTCCTCTTGAGTTTGAGGAAGATCTGGTTCTTGTTCCCTACTCACCTCAGGGAGGGGCTGAAATCCCATACGGGGTGCTCTCCTGGGCCTGGCTGGTGGTCCGCTGAGTAGTCCACCTTCTCTCTTCCAGTAACAGAATTAGCCCTTTTAGCTTTTTTTGTGTGTGTGTGAGGAAGATTAGCCCCGAACTAACATCTGCCAATCCTCCACTTTTTGCTGAGGAAGACTGGCCCTGGGCTAACATCTGTGCCCATCTTCCTCCACTTTATATGGGACGCTGCCTCAGCATGGCTTGACACGTAGTGAGTCAGTGCACGCCCAGGATCCGAACCCGGGCAGCCAGCAGTGGAGCGCGCGCACTTAACCGCTACGCCACGGGCCGGCCCCAGCCCTTTTAAACCTCTAAAAATTGGACACGCAACCCACAACATCCTAATTTCCCTCCATAGGTTTTTTTGTTTGTTTTGTTTTGTGTTTTACTTTCTCAAACCTATTCATATTGCTAGCCTGAATGCTCTTGGGTTTCAGTCAATTCTGAAGTTGCGTGAAGTAGCATTTTCTTTTATTTACCTTATATAGCGGCTTTCCGCCTTAAGGGTTTTCCACATATTTTCTGGTGTTTGGGATGTGGTAAATGTTTTTATTCGCCCTCCCCAACCCTGAAAGGATGCCACGGGCACCTTTCCTGTCTTTAATCAACGTGCTAAAGAGAAAGAGTGGCTGTGGAAAGGAACCTGCCGTGACAAAGTGGAGATGAGATTCTGGACACTTCATTATGCTTCCTTCCTGCTTTTGTCTCTCTCGTGAAGGCCATATACCTCTATGCTTCTCTTCTTGGAAAAAGACAAAGGGTCGTGGGAGGAAGGGCTGGCATTGGCACCTGAATTCAATGATAGAATTATCATTCCTGTATAGGAAGTGACTACTATGGCAGGTGTGTGGCAGAACTCAGGAGTGCTGGCTTCAGCCTGCAGGGAAGCCCCCAGAACACCTCCTCACCTGTTTGGATGCCTGCCACTCAGATCATTTAGGTTTTTAAATCAATAACTCTTAAGTGGGCTCTGAACTCAGCCCACTTTTAGCGTGGGACCTTGAGTAACTTGATTATCTTTCCTAAGCTGAACTTTACTGATTGGTAAAATAAGATAATTTTATCTACCTCATAGAATGGTCATGAGGATTAAATGAGATAATATATGTAAAATTCTTAGCTTAGTGCTTGTTTTATAGTCAGAGCTTGATCACTAATGGCTACAATTATTTAGGCTAAAATACATGTACTCATGAGAGAGGACATATATTGATTTGATTATATGACAAGGTATAAATAACAGACATCTGAGAGTTTTCTGAGAGACAATTGGACTGACATAATAGAGGATACTTGGGAGGACAGGGAGAGGATGTGGCAGAAATAGAGCATTGAAAAACATGATCATAGTTCCACCTGCCTCTATCCAGTGTCCGTCAATCAACAGCAAAACCAGAGACAGGGTCGGGGTACGGATTCATGTTTTACAAATAAAGCTTGTTTATTTTTGTGTCATTACCTCAAAATTACTGCATTTTCCTCCTTCTGGGACAGTTACCCCAGTGCACTATTCTAATCATGGTTTATTCTCACAGAGACAAATGAATTTAGAGGCCCTGCCTCTGCATATCATGCCAGGCACCCAGTGAAGAAAGAGAAAACTTCTCTTTGTTGGGGAAATAGTCAATGGGGTTTAATTCTTCAGCCTGCAATTTCTTTTCTGTAAGAGACCTCCCCTCCAAAAAAGTGATTATCTTAACTTATGAATATTAACTAGAGAGATAGCATTTAAGAATTTTCAGCATGGAAAAAAATAGTTTCTAGCATATTTCCTAACTTTCCAAAATTAGGAAAAGTAAATTTTTTTTCATACATAAAATCAGTGAATGTGTAGGTGTTGTCTAGGGTTTTTGCAAGTATATTTTATCCACAAATAAAACAGGTGGTTTCTTGTAGTTTTTTATTTTTTTTCCCTGTTTAAACTCTGTCAAATATCTTATTTCTAACTCCTCCTGAGAAAACCCAGCGGTGCAGACGGAACGCTTCCTCTGAGCACATCAGTCGCTGCTAATTGTTAATTGGGCCACAAGCCAAGGGGAATAAAAGAGATGCCCGCAGCAGTGCTAGTCGCTCCTGCAATTAGTAAGTGATGTGTTATTTCATCTGTACACAAGATTTGATTTAAAAATTCTTGTTCTTTCTGAGACTCTAACCAGCCAGGGATGATCAAGTAAGTACGGCAGGTTGGAAATCAAAATTTTCATTGCCCAGCCTTCTTCAAGTTACAGTTTATTCAACAAAGTCACTAGAATCGTGTTGTCAACGGAACCAAGGTGGTGGCTACTCTGTTTCCAGGCACAGGAATACAGATCTAGAATCAAAGTGGGTCCTAAAAGCAAGGTGTTTACTCTGCATTCTAGGAAGTCAGCCTTGAACAGAACTGTAGGAGCCAACATTTATAGAGTGCGTACTGTATGCCAGGCACTATTCAAAATGCTGTGCATACATAGATGCAGTATCATCCTGCCTGAAAGGAAACAGGTTTAGAGAGATTCAGTAACAGGTCCAAGGTCTCCCTGCTTCCA